TTTACATTAGATTTGAAATTGGACACAATTGCACAAAAAAACTAGCCCAACGCTAGCAATAATTTTTCTTCACTTTTGTGTTGATTGTTCAATTATAGAATTCTAAATAGGGATATCAATATAACAAATTAAGAGTAATGATAGAAGTAAATATGTTATTCACAGTAATTGCTCTATCAACTGGTTATAGATACTTGCTATCAGGTTTTAGTCTAGGTTTACTTTGTTCAGAAAACAATGTTCGAATTGTCTATATGAAGGAAAGTTAGCCTATTGATAAGTCGAATACATGAACTGATAGGTAAACATGATGCCATAAACAACTGAAAGAATTAATTTTAAAAGGTGAACGTGGATATGAAAATGATCCTGTTACACTTATTTTAATCTAAAATATAACACTTTTTAAGATATAATTTATAAAGCTTGGCTCTTCCTTACTATAAGTAGATTCCCTGATATCTTGCAGTTTCTAAGAAAACCATCAATGTTACAAAGTGCCATACATAATCAAGGAAAATATGCAAAGCTTCACAGATGGTGAAGGATGAGTCTCATGAATTGATCCCTATAGAAAAATATGAAATGCTTCATTATCTGGACTTCTTGTATTTTGATTCACACAAGGAACTAAGACCACTTATGTAGTGTGCAAGGAGTGCTTCAGCCGTTGAACCGAATGTGATTGATCGAGAGGCAAGGATTAGAATATCATCATTTTCATGTATATTGCGATGATGATTACGTTTTTTTTCTGTCGAAATTCTATTATGATTTATATTACATGATGTCACTTTGATAGCAAATGGAAATTGAAGACTATTTTAACCTGAAGAAAAGTATTTTTCTGACGAAATCATGATTGGATACAATAGTGTATTGTGGATTGAATCTTGACAGACAAAGACATTGCTCCAACCTTTTCCCATCAAATTTCAAGATATAAATTCATAGAAACTTAGTGTAATCTAATAATACCCAAACATCGCAGCCTATACAAATTTTTGTAATTCAATTCTCTTGCCATGAAGAGTATCAGAACTGACATAGGCTGCAGGTACGACATTTTATGGGAGGAAAGAAAGCCCTGAGATGAACTACTCGGCGGATGTGACTGTCGTTCTTCTTCAAATTAGAAAGTAAATAAGAGAGAAGAGATCTGCGGGAGTAGAGACTGAAGGTGAGGGAAGAATCTGCAACATTTGTGCAGATATACAAGAATGGGTGCAGCCGCGCCCCATGCAGCCCGCCAGGGCACGATGGGAAGAACGTAAAAATTGGTCGACGCGTGTCGCGTTGCTGTTCGTGGCCGCTTTAGCTCTAACCTAACCCAGACACCGGATGCTGACAGGATTCGAAGATGAATCTTTGGCTTCGGGAAGTTGTGTACCAATGACGCGCAAGGAGAGAATATCTGGCAAATGATCGTCAACAAGAACCCGGCTCGAGTGGGCATGTGTCGTGCTCTGAACTGACACCGAGGAGACTGTTCGTCGGCCGTACACGGCCGAGCACGAGCCTCTGTCGTTGGAACTTGGAAGCTGGGATCTACTGCCCACGACAGGTCCGGCCAGCTGGATGAGCGAACCTCTATAAGTGCATATTCCGGATAAGTGCAACTCCAGCTCCTCAATACTCTACCTGATTTGCCTCCTCAATGATTCCAGCAAGTACGTATAGTGCATGTAGTCATTCCAGTGGTGGAGTTGCACACAACCACTCAACTTTCGGTGACTGCATACCGATGACTTAATTAAGTACAGCCGAATTTCTTTCCAACTAACAGCCGCCTTGCTCTTAGAGAGGTGTGACTGTACGAGGAACCGGCGTACATCCCAACTAGGAAAGTGAGTGTTCGGGGCCTTCGGGCTTGTCTGTCTATGTGTTTGGTTGCCACGTATCGTGGACAAGCACAAAGTACTAGATATTATCGAGCTACAGAGTTTACTGCTAGAGTTGCAAAACGTTTAACACTCCTCCTCGCTGGTGCTTGCACGTTCCAAGAGTTTGCTGTCTCTGGCGGAAGCTCGTTGGTCTACTAGCGACACCCTCCAACGTTTGAGCTCGATGAGCTGATTGATAGATGTTTTTATTCGTGCAGTAGCACTCATTATCTAAAAAACACTAGTACATAGAGAAAACTTCTCACTCTGCACCTCTCCGAACAATTTCCAGTTTAGGATGTAGCTCATTCATAATCATGCAGTTAGAATTTACGTATAAGGTCTGAGAAAGGAAAAGAAATAATGCTTCTGTGCTGAATAGACACCACGTCGTCTTGACAATCGTGCCAATCCTAAGATCCTCATACTTGTCAACAAGGGAAATTTACTGACAGGTGATTCTCAGCTCGGAGGATGTTTCCGGTGTTCTAGACAAAAGAATGTTGAAATTTGAGACCCGAATGGACTTCAAACAGATCAGCTCTTATCCTGATGAGTTTCAGTTTGTCGCAGCTTAGTGTTGAGTGTTGATGCTCATACGTCGGACTTAGCAGTACTATGTGAGATTTTACAGACGGACTGATAACACTCTCATGTCTTTAACTTCCACTGGCTTCTACGGGCGGGATGTCTCATCTTGTAAACTATTTGGTCACCTGTTACGCGCACGAGGAAATTTCGTATGGATTATCTTGTTCAATGTCGTCTCTTATTTAACTGTAGTCTTTGGTTTTTAACACCTTACTGACCTTTTGTTTCTCCAAAATCTGAGTGCAGGTGTGCTGTAACAGTATCGTCTCCAATGTTCAATTCCGGACAAATTTAGCTCGTTGAGGGTTGATCGTGCATCGAGAGTGATTATTTGTGCCATCCACAATTTTCTGAGTGTAGCTTATTTATTATGATGAGCCTGACGTTGTCTGGCTTCGTTGTGTCTTTGAAACCGTAACCGTAAACTAGACTCGTATGACCATTATCGTGTTCGTATTCTCAATCTTACCTGATTAGTCACTCTTCAAGAGCCTTGATTGTGCAATACATACAATATTGATTCTATTTCTTTCTCGTTTGTGCCCATGTTTCCTCATTACATTGCAGCAGCTCCCCACTCAATGTCACTACAATTCTAGTCTTGACGAGCTTTTCGTACTTTGCTTCAAGAAGCATTCAGTCATTGGAACAGTCCAGTGCATCAACAAGTGTTACGCAGTTGCTTCTGCACTATCAGCAGGTATGATCACAATGCCCAGCCCATAGTCTCAGCTGTTTGTCTAATGTTTCTCATCCTACATGTGTTTATAAATTTCTGTCAATGCCTCACTTCTGCAGAACCGCAAGCGTTGTAAAGGCTATTTTACATAATGTCGAATTTGGCTAATGAGGGAAGATTCCTCCTCTTCAATCTGCTCCTCCCCGAATGATGCATCAGAAATGTGATAAACCAAATACTCGGTATTTCGAAGACCGAAGACACTAAGGTCACATCCTCCTTCCATCCCCCTCCTTATGAATTATAGCAGACGACTTCAAGACTTCACGTCTACTGGCGAGCTTTTAGGCTCTGCCACTGGCGATCAAATTATTTTTCCAAAAAACTTTGTTCTCATCCGAGTCACGACTTTCTTAAAAAACTGTTGCTATGCGAATCTCCATATGACCTGACGAGCAGATCAAGATAGGTCTCTCGACACTGCTCACTGATTCCCGTTTAGAATTCATTCTTCTACGATGTCTCAAGTATTTTACTTTGTCAGTTTCTGTAATTATATCTCCCAGAGAAGTTTCCATTCCCAACTATATGAAAGACAATTAGCCGATAATTTGAACGTCTCCATGACATTTGGAGAAAGAACAAACAGTTTTTAGCACCTGAAGTGCGCCAACTTGCAATGAACTGCGGCGATAGAGGAAGCAAAGAGCGATGGACGATCCGACTTGGGAATTGTGGGCTGTATCGAAGGAGGCATGCCATGCATTTCCACAGCCTAGAAGGGGATGGCGTCGTGTTAAGCAAACCACAGAGCCAGTGTTCCTGTGCCCCAACTCTGTTGATTGCTCTCATCTCGTACGTATGTCGTACTCGGTGGGTGTTAAACCGGTTGATTGTCCGTCCAGCCTCCTAGGATTGGAAGCTTACTGTGTACTTCCTCGCCACTACTGCCTCGCATTATCCGTTTACTTCAAACTTTCACTTTTTAAGTTGATGTCTCACACCAATTACTGCTCCTGCTTGCAATTCCCCGTCATCTCCAAGGCTTGCCAGTCTTTCAGCATCTCCAACGCTGCTTTCTATCCTGGATTCTCATCGAAAATATTGGGATTTGAGCTCGTTGAGTGACTCGCAACCTGAAATTTCAACAAGCTCGGTCGGTAGTGACCCTGTGCAATCAAGAAATTGTAGCATTTTCCACTGGATACGATGCGGTGGAGAGTTTATCATGGTTTTAACGCTATTCTTGAAATATTCCTTCCGCCGCTATTCAATGCAGCGAGGGGAGGTGGAGGGGCGGAGATGTTCTTACCGACTTTTAACTACACCACTGTAATGTGATATTTAAGAAACTGCTGCTTTCACCAAAGTGCTCCCTTGGTTTCTTGCGGTCTAACGCACTGCCACAGTTCTCCAGTCATTAGCTTTGCATCTCCAGCCTTTGGGAAAGCCCATTAACTTATACCAGCAATTTGGTTCCTGAACTAAACGAGAATTTCAGATTCCCATCTGTAACACAGGGAGGAAGAAAGAGGCAGATATATTGAGATTTCTTGATCTCGGTGCGTGTTTGTTGAGAGACAGATTACTGACAGTTGAAGTCTCGCAATTTCTAACTGGAGCCGCGAACTTTGACAAGCAACTTCGAATTTATTTCAAGCTGTTCCCAGTTTTTTCAACTGATTTTTCAGATAGACAGTAGAGTGTCGGAACAAAAATGGCCACAACGGAATGTAGGAATTGCAAAGCTCAGAACATGACCGCAAGCCCGCCTGGAATGTCACACAGGGGAAGAGCGCAGGCGATCTCGGACACCAGCCTTTCCAAGCGTATACCTCAAGAGGAAGATGGCGGACACAAACTCTCCTTACGTTCTTTGGCCACCTTCTAGTAGACAGCGATGCAACGCCGAGGAGAGAGCTGCTTACTTCAGTGCACTGTGCCAGGAAGAAGCGGTCGATACCAACGGCCTCCTGCCCAGAGGTAAGCAGGCGAGCACTTTGAAGGAGCTCATGATCATCCGCGCATTTCACAGCCACGTCCTACGTCACTGCAGCCTCGGCACGGCACTCGGCTTTCGCATCCGCGATGGCACACTGACCGACATTCCCGCCGTGCTGGTTTTCGTTGGCCGAAAAGTGCACTTGCGATGGCTCCTGGATGTTCAGAGACTGCCGATTACCCTACAGGTCAATACGTAACTCTCTCTTCTCTCTCTCTAGACCTCCCTCCTGTAACGAGTTGGAAACTGGAAACATCCAACTTTTCAAAGCTTCTAAAAGTTCATTCGGAGCTCCAATGCATATGTATGAAAGTCTTAGTGCAGTCCCGTTCTTCTGGCTCTCACGACAGAAGGACGCGACCTTCACTCAGATATATGTTTGGTCTCATGGAGCTTTTTCATGGCTCTCTACTGAAGTCTTCTGCATCACGAATCCAGATCACGTATACGTAGCTCATCTGTGGATCGCCGACACTGTGTAACATATATTACAGCCGTGATGAAAAATGAAGACTGATTTGGTGATTTGGACAGGGTTGAATTCAGAGTGCTCCTACAGACTAGTCTGGTCATACTCCAACTGGTCCTGTGCGTACTGTTCTGACGCTGCTCCAAAAACCTGCACAAGGTGCCGGGCTTTAGTCCAGACTAGATTCATGTCTAAGGCTTTCTTTCCTGCCTACCGACTGACAGATCTCACTGTTAGCAAAAAAAGCTCGTACTTGTGAAGTTGATACTTTCTTTCGCCTTGTGTAGGGGCCGGGTGGAGTTTGGTGCGACTTGGACGTGGTGGAATTTTCTTACTTCGGAAATCCTGCTGTTTCTCACAAAGAGCAATTCTACTCGGAGCTGCTGGAGGCCCTAAGAGGATGTGATTCGTCCATTGGATCAGGGTCACAGGTCACTGAATCGAGCTCTTAGTCAAATTCATTCGTTCGTATTAGCCCTTTATGGACTCGGATCTCTAGCAATTAAAACTCGTGACAATATCTGAGGACTCCAGACAGTATAGTGTTAGAGCTTTTTTTCTTCATCATGTTGACTGCAGTGATGACAATTGAAATCTTCTTTACATCTGCAAAAATTCGATTTTACTTTTTCCTTTTTCAATCATGTTTCAACCCGAATCTACTGCAGGTGGCGAGTCAGGAAACGTATGGAACAATGGCGTGCATTGTTCGGAGTCTAACTCCTGAGCATGAGCTTGGATTCTTGACCAATAGGCATGTCGCCGTACACTTAGACAATCCACATCAGAAAATGTTTCATCCTTTGCCTCCAAATTTAGGTCCCGGAGTTTACTTGGGATCTGTGGAGAGGGCAACTTCCTTTATCACGGACGATCTATGGTATGGTGGAATATTTGCCGGACTAAACGAAGGTATACGCTTGCATCGCCACTTTCGCCTTTGCAATTTTAAATTCCGATTATACTGCATTCTTACGAGTCAAGCAGGAATCTGCTTTTTGGAATGCTTGCAAATCAATGGAGTGAAAAAATTGTCGTTTCTATCTCAGCTGCTCACAATTAGATCTGAAATGATTCGATGTACAAAACAGAAACTTTCATACGAGCGGATGGGGCTTTCATTCCTTTCGCGAAGAGCTTCGACCTGAGAACGATCACAGCGGATCTGAAGGGGGCTGGGGAGATGGGGGACATCGTGCGGATCGATCTGGATGCACCGATAGGAAGTATAATGGGCCAGCATGTGGTTAAGGTGGGCAGAAGCTCGGGCCTCACCAAAGGCGTCATCAGGGCATACGCTTTGGAGTACAACGACGAGAGAGAAATCTGCTACTTTTCGGACTTTCTAATTGTCGGGGAAAACGATCAGCCGTTCGACTCCGTAGGAGACAATGGGAGTTTGATTCTTCTCGCGGGCAAAGAGGACGAGAAGCCACGGCCGTTCGGAATCATGTGGGGAGGCAGTCCTAATAGGGGCCTCTTGAAGCTTTGCAATGGACGGGCACCGGAGACTTGGACAAGCTGCGTGGATCTCGGCCGTCTCCTGGACCTCCTTCAACTGGAGCTCATTACAACGCAGTCGCGTCTTGAAGGTTTGCTCATTCGAGCTATGCATTCTTCCTTTTTCGGTAGTTAGGACGCCTCATTGCTCATACTCACGTCCACGCCAAACATGAACGCAACATGATCATCTTGTGTATATGTCGAAACTGTGCTCTCCTATTCATGTTTTCCTGGAATAAAGAACTCCACAAACCACAAACCTCTGCTTTCCTTGCAGCTTAACCATCAGATCCTCCTACGTCTCAAGATTTAATCTCAAGCTTCTAGCTTGAGATCAAATCCCTACGTCCAGCCTTCAAGGAGAAATTGTCACGGTCAAACCAGACAGAGGAAGAACACAAAGAGCTACCTTTGGTTCTCAACTCGTTTGGTGAAATGACGCTTGCTTGAGAGAAATCTCTATGGTCCTCGTGCTGTGACTTTCAGAAGATCTGAAAGGAGATCCGAAAATATTATGAATGTAAGGATATTATGGATATATGAGTCTAGCTACGATGCCATTTTTTGCAACGATCGTCTGACAAGAGTTTGATTTTAGTTGACTCGGACAATCTTTGCAACAGGTGCCATAGAAGAACATTGGCAGATTCATCATCCAGCACATCAAGAGGGAGAAAACGGGAATTCAGCATATGAATCGAATTATTGGGATTACATGAAGGAGAGGGACGACCTCGAGCGCATCCCATGCACAGCATTTGCACCTCCAGAGGAAGTGGCTTATCGTCAGCTGATGAAAGCCAAACGAACGGATCCACCGTCTTGTACTCCTTCATGCACTGAGAGCCACTCGTCAATCACATCGCAGAGAGTCGACCTAGCAAGAGGCAATCAGCGGGAAAAGCAGATCAAGGACGGAGACGAGCGACCAGAAGATCGTCTTTTCAGAATCTCAGACACTGAAGGAAAGCGCAAGCGACTATGTCGCTGATGTCACCAGTTTTCAGGTCTCCTCCGAAATCCAGCCTCACGCGAAATCCTTTTCGAAGATAGTCGGAACAGCTTCTTGAAGGTTGCCTCTCAATCGATCCTACTTTTGTAGTTATAGATGATGGTGAGAGAAAGAAATCGTTGCCAGGCAGCAGGATCGGCACAAGATTTCCTTTTCCAGGAGGTATATCCCACTGCAGGAGTATTCGAGCAGCAGGCAGTAGAAGTTCAGAAGGATGTCTACGTACCTCAAGCTGAGTCCTGATCCCCTTGCTAGCTGCTCCTCACCTTGCACGTCAAAATTTTGGTTTAGACATCGTGGTTGTAGGACCTTTTGATTGTCAACAGAGTGAATCATGTTAAATACAGAATACAATAGCTATAGCATATGCATCCAGCAAAACTCTGCTCAGTGTTTCTTTGAATGGTTGCTTGGTTTGAAATTGGAAATGAGAGCTTGTAACCTCTGTTTGCTGTGCCCATCTTCCTATGACTACCCAGCTCATGTTGATAATCCCGTCTCGGTCTGCTGCAGCAGTTCGTAAACAGACGGTGAAGCAAGTAACTTCATGTTTCTCACCGCTACAGGATTACGCATGTAGATTGAACCTCTTGTAGAGATGGTTCGTCGTACCAGTTATAACCACGTTAGTTACATGACAATTGTATGCAATCTTCCCATACTATCGTCCACACTATCTTGATACTATCCTCAAATGATATGTCGATGGTCTACAGACATCGTACCTCGTTCCGTTATCTTGATCCCACGTCCTACGTGGAATCAAGATAGGGTTTGAATGCGTAACGTGACCACTGCCATGCACTTGTGCTCCACAAGCAAGTATAATGACTTCATCTATACTGATTTCTTTTTACATGCGAATTGGTCGATGTATAAGGACGTCATGATGGTAGTCTGCTGTACAAGCTTTAGGATTTGGTCCCAACTAGGAGACAAGACGGGCAAGTGCCTTTTCATTCTCCTTTGGGTTGGGGCGTTGCTTTCCCTGGCCTTGGATTTCGTTACGAGCCGAGAGCTTTTCATCTTTGTTTACAAGCCGAAAAATCCACTGCCAGCACACTTATCTAGGTACGTTAGCTGAGTTGTACTCTTACGTGCAGCAGTTCTGGATTTCTCAATAAGCAACAGCAGGCTCTCGTTATGAGCGTTTAGTGTCCGTCGGATCGTTGATGGAGGAGGCAAGGAAGTGTTCGAAGCAATCAGATCACCAAAGTAAATCCAATCCTTCATGGCTAGTGCTAAATGGTATTTCTGTGAGAGACACACATATTTAGCACATATAGCACGATGTTATTTACCATATAGTGAAGACACTCGCTCCGTGGACTGGCAGTTGCAGATCTTCAAGAAACTTGAATAGAAGTGAGTAGAATTGGTATCCAGCTCCATGTAGCAAAATCCTTGCACAATGATAGCACTTAACATCTTCGATTGCAGCAAAGTGAGTCGAGGTTTTCCATTTCTAATGATTCCATGGAATAAGACCACGCTTCTAGATATCGCACTCCAACTCTTTCTTGTTCTTCATGTCAAATCCACGAAATTTCAATCCAATGACATACTTGATTTTCTATAGAAATAAGTTTGTTGAAGGATTTTGTGGAATAACTTAAAACCTCAAGAATCAGGAGAGGCTAGAAATGAATAAAAAAAAAAAGGAAAATAATCTACCTAAATAATAGAGTTTTATCATTGATATGAAAATATACTGAAAATTTGATTTATTTTTAAATATTTCTTTCAAATTCAACGTATTCTTCCTTAAAACGTTGCTAAGAGATTCATTTGTCTTAACCTATACTTATCAGTCAAACTGACCACCGAATGCATAGAGAAGCTGTTTTAGTTACAAGTATAATGAGGTTATATATCATATCAACGTCCCAGATAAGATTTCACAAAATAATTTTGATATAATCTTCTTCTTTATATTTTTTATATTATTTTATTCTTTTGAAAATTTACTACAATCTTATATACCCTAAAATATGAAATTATAGCATTGTATGGTGGAGCACAGAAAGGCTGAATTTTCGTATTATCGTAGCCATGTCCCCAGTTTTTCACCATTGTGAAAAGAAGTACTAGATGAAAGAGTAAGTCAATACTAATCTTATTACATATAAGAGCCGAAAATGTTATAAGCATACGCCTAAGAAAATTTTTTACTTATTTCAAAACGGTTCTCTGCAAATTTTCAGTTTCATTCATACAGGGTTTCATATTATTTTCCTACCGTGAAGTTCTTGTAAAAGATCATGGCAGAAAGAGTGATATTTCACTAAATACAGGGCTGAGGTTTCACGACCATTTCGAAAACGCACTTGAATTCCATAAATATTCGTAGTGTATTGTGTGTTTCCGTACCACCCTGTACTGCTTAACTTACTGGAAGATTGTCTGGAAATCACTTGAAATTATTAATTTAACCTTAATTATCCAAATGTAAACGAACTTCAATCAAATTGAATACTGTACATTTAAAAATATTCATAAAGATCGAACTTTCGACGTCTTTGCGTGCTTCATGTTATCAACAATTTATTCCATTGATACTTCAAAATAAGGTTGACTTGAAAGGTCGTTTTCTAAAATCTCTAAATATTTAGTTATTCTGTTTGCCTAAAAAATTGTCGACAATGACCCGCTGATCATATTTCAATATCACATAAAGATATATAATGTTACTAAATTCAAAAAAGGTTGAAACTGATGTTGAAGATTTTGCTTAATAACCACAATATGGTGATATGTAATTCATACACCAAAACACCCTAGAACTACTTTGCAACTTATTTCTTTTTTATGGGAAGAAAAGAATTTTCACCGAAATCCATAGCAAATAAACTTTATAGATCACACATGATCACTATCAGGCTTGGTCTTGAACCTGCCTCAATCCTTTGGTGTATGTGGTATCTTACGTTGTAATTTGAGAATACTTAATTTGGTATATAGACTATTTTAGACAAAGTGTCCTTATTGTTTTATAGAGAACATTGTACAACGCTGTCGGAGAACAATCATATGTTACTAATATTTATAGATTTGCTAATATATATACATGGCCAGGCATATATTTGAATTTGAACTTCGCAGTTAAGTTGTCAGATGATTCTGGTGCAAGTCTCATATTAGCCAAGATCTATCACAACTACTATCGATGTTAGCACACTCGCTTTCTGGATCTCTGAACTCGGGCATAGCGAACATCAAAAGATAAAATTAATTACCGTACCAACGAATCAACCCGCTAAGGAATATGGGTGATTTGTGAAGGAAACTATAAGTAATATACGCTAGAAAACGAATTTTTGTAACGCGAATTGTTATTTCAAGAACTAGCAATGGAATAAATGCGCAACTGATATGCAAACTTTCCCCTTTGAAACATAAGTATATATTTTTTCTTTTTAAAAATCGTATGACTTTTACAAAATCTACCGTTCACTCTTTAAAGTAAGACTCAAAGAGTTTACTTTCACATTATTCCAAAATTAAGTACATTGGTTAGATGTGATTGTTATTTTCACTCATTCTTGTGAGTGAGACTACGTGGGCATAATGACTGGCTAGTAGTCGACAACGTGGTATCTTCGGGACAGTACGAAAGAATAAAACTATCTCCTAGCTTCTGACTATCTCTTCACTTTAAATTTCCAACCGGCAGGTAGTTTGGGAGCAGCGAACCAAAACAATGTCAAGCACGGTCAGCGTAAGCATCCATGGATCGTGGTCGGTACGCCTCGCTCCTGAAGAGCATGCGTAGGCGTATCTTACGCATGAAAAGACTCACCAGATCTGTCTAGACCTATATCCAAACATATTGATAGTAACTAGGTCTTGTCAAGGTAAAGTAAAGTAAATGATAATTATACGATAAAAATAAAAAGTACACTTTACCTTTAATTTATTTATTAATCGGTTACTTAACCAATAAAAATAAAAAATATATTTTATCTGTTGAATTTATGACAAATTAACGGACTTCATGCAATTAACGAAATTGTTAGTTTGACGAGTAATTACTCGAGTAAGTATAGGTAGACCGGTATTATTTTTACTTTATTCTCTAACTTACCCATTGGTTAGTTTCACATTGAGTCGTTAACTTAAATGGTAAATACTGGAGTAACGGATAAATAAACCGGCATTACTTTAACTCTACCCTCTATGTTACCCATTAGTTCTCTTAGCACCTTTTTACCCTTCACTTTTACCTTTGAGTAAAAATTATTTTACTTTGCTGAGATCTAATTGTAACGGGAAAGGTTTTCAGACCTCAAATTACAAAATTGGGAGCTCATTGATACACAGTCGCTTTCTGCGTTTACTATGGTCTTTGGATTTCTTTTCAGCATCCATGCAATCCCAGCCTGCACAATACTTCGTGAATACCTTCTGGTACGTGCTTACCTTCTTCTTCCAATAGCTTTGATCTTATCTCCCCTGAACGTTATTGGCACTCGGTTACCGTACTGTAGAACTCTTAACATCAAAAGTAGTTTCCTCCGCTCGTACTGAGTCATCGATCTTGCTTCATAACTTAATGTATCTATTTTATGGAGCTCTTTCTCTTAGGCAAGTTTTGATACTCCCTATCGAAGAACCCTCTGCAACAACAAATGATATCAACACCACTGTTGATACCAGTAATTAGGAAAGCTTTACTCACATCGAAAGAGTAACTTAAAACAAGAGCACCATAATAAGATCTTGATTCATTTGTAAGCCAAGATTCTGTTTATTATGACAATGACTAACGATGTGGACTCGATGTCACGATGTTTGTACATGCTGGACGTGCATGCAATTCCTGGATCGAGATTGGACATGGATTGCGAGTCGTTGCGAGCCCTGTCAGTTGTCTTTGTCTGTCCTCAGGTCCAAAACCCACGCACGTGTTTTACGAGGAAGTTGGCCAGATGGGCTGTATTCGAAGACCCGCGATTCGAATACCTCATGCTCCAGCCGGC